CTATATTCAAAAGAGAAGATATAGATTCAACTCCTATAGAGAAGTAAGTCAAACCTAAATGTATGCTAACAATTCTCTACACTTCAAACTCAGCTACTTCGACTCTGACTTAAGCATCGGAGCCTGTGTGGCAAGAGCAACAGCGATAGATTGGTACGAATTTGACGAAATCCCAAGAGGCAAAATTTCTGCATCAACACACACAATTTGCTATTGTTCAATTGGAGTCCTAGAATTCTAGTTTGCTCGCTACAATTTAAAAAAAAATTATGATAGAGATATGTTTCACGTTTTATAGGTATTTTAAGCTTTGTTTTCATTTCATGTACGTGTGTGCATATACTATTCCTCCTCACGTTTGAATTACTACCCACTAAAATTTAATTATCTCATTCATTCCCTCACAAGTTTTGTAAATGAAGAGATAATTAACTTGGCCACATATAACGAAGGCCGGGCAAATTAAAGATTAGGTTAAGGATATCATTGATGAAAGCAAATGGCAAAATTGAAACTTTTAATTATTTCGTCGCAAGTTGATGAAGTTTAGAGATAAGTCTAAGATTCGAATTAAATCGACCTTCCCTCTCCCTCTCTCCCTCTTCCTTAGGGTAAAATAAGGAATATTGTCAAAATAGTCTAAGATTCTTTCCCTTCTGGCCAAACTCTTGTCATGAAAATAATCCTTTTATGTTATATGTCATTTCATCTTTTCTTGTCTACTCTATGGTCAACTTTAAACTTCTTCTTTTTATTCGGATCCTATAGTACATAATCAAGATATCTCTCATGATGGCAGGGTGAATATAATATAGACCCAAAATAATTTTATAATTAAAAAGAAAGTTTAATCTAAATTTACCAAAAGAGCTAAACTATAAGATCTCTCCTCATAAAGTCATCTTTCACATAGGGAAACTTGCATGTCTGGTTCTGGCTAGGGACCCCGGTTTCCTGTACTAATATGTGTAGGTCCCTATAATTCGAGTGAGATTGTCATAGCGCAAAAGTAGATACGGTATGGTATTCCCTTGTTCCTTGTATTGGTTATGTTCTTTATTTCTCGTCCAGCAGAAACTAATCGAGCTCCGTTTGATCTCCCAGAAGCGGAAGCTGAATCAGTTGCAGGCTATAATGTAGAATATGCGCGGGATGCGATCCTTAATAGTCCACTGTTGGCGGAAGCCAATGTCCCGGGGTCCCGGGGACTCATTCTGACTGAAACAAGGGGTGAGTCTCTCTCGTTAAAGGATGTGCTAAAAGTAATATATTGCAAGATGCACTCAAAGAATACATTAAAGTTGTACTATATAGGTGGGAGTCATAGCTATTGTTCGTTGGATATAGGGTATAAATAGAGCAGATGTGTAGACACTTCCACGCCATATTGGGCGACTTATAGGTGTGCAACCACTTCCGTCCCATATTCGACAGTTTATAGGTTGGTCTTACTTTAGCCACCATTATAGGTCGACTATAGGTTCGGCTTATAGGTATGCCTCACCTCAGCTACCGTTATAGGTCGATTATAGCTCGACTAATAGGTTAGCGTCAGCAGGTCAACTTTGCCTTACCCATCTCCTATAAAGAGAAAGGGTTCCTGATCTTTCAAGGTACGTCATTTCTTCTCCACTCTTTACTTCTTTTCTCTTAAACTCAAATACTGACTTAAACATCAAAGTGTGGCAGGCTGGTACCGCGTCAATATCCAACCGCCATCTTTTTGTACAGGTCGCCTTTGCCTCAACTTCCTGAGCCAAGGTCTCGTGTAGATCATCGACACCCTCGATTTTCCAAACAACAAGAGATCACGTCCTTCCCCTATTCATAACCCGTCGGTCAACTTCATACCCCCGGTTTGATTGGCCCGCCAAAATTTGCTTCAACATACCGTGTTGCCTGAATTTGTACATTATGATTTATTCTACTACTTGCACAATTATGATGTAACTTTCATTATTTCATTATCATGTATTTAAGATAGGGTGTCTTGTCCATTCATGATATGATCATGCACACATGATAAAAATATATATATATATATAACTAATGCATTTTAACTACACCATTTATGTTTTGAGTCAAGTAATTTTCACTATTCATGAAAGCTCTCATACGAGCCTGGTAGAATATACGTATCCTCATCACTTTCCTTAACCTCTATATATGGTTAGACGTGCTAATGACTAATCCTAATTGAAAAAATAGTAAAAGTAATTAGATGATAAATGTCACAAGTAGTCCAGGTTTAGAACCAATTCACCCCAACTATTGTACCATCTACTAAATCCATAAATGAAGGAGAAACTGTAGTCTTCTATATTACAAAAAAAAAAAAGTATAATAAATCAAAAAGATATAATCTTTTTTGCAAGTGATGAAGTTGTTGATTCACCTAGGACAATAAATATTCGAAAAGAGACAAATCTACTCGGTGATGAAAACGTAAGCTTCAAGTGAAAAAAGGGGGGGAAACTCAAACCATTTGGTGGTAAATTTGTCAAAATCAACCAAGCAAGCACTCATTTACCTAAAACAAAATGTTGTCAGCATTCTAGTAATTAGATAGGCCACAAAAAGTTTTATGTGGTTTGAATTGGAACAAAATTTTGAAGAAAAAGAGGAATGTTGGGTGCAAAGAATGTAAGTCCTCTCAAGAGATAACTAGAAAAGGG